AGAGAGAGAGAGAGAGAGAGAGAGAGAGAGAGAGTTTTCCATCGATAGGATGAGCAACGCACCGGCCAACAGGTAAGTCTCCAACCCCGCGGCTGGCCTCACGCTACTTCTATTGATAGGATGAGCAAAATTGAATGAATCTTCCGCTAGAACATGGAAGTATACACTACTACATGTGCATGTGTGTGTGTGTGTGTGAGAGAGAGAGGTGGTGGGCGCCCACCTTCATAGCTGCCCGCCGGTCTCCCGCTGCCCGTTGCCGCTTCCCGCCGCTGGCAACAGGGCGCGCGACTCAGGAAACAGCCACCCCCCTTCTCCAAAAAGTTTTTTGGGGGAAGGGCCTGCCGAATTCGAATTTTCAAATTTGGTTGGCCTTTCCCCGAAAAAAAATTTGGAGGCGGGGCGCAGCCGGTTTCCCGAGTCGTGCGCCACGGCAGTCAATTTTTCCGGGGTGGGGGCCCGCCAAACGAAGAAAAACCCTAAAAAAAAAATAGAAAAAAATTGACCACCCCTCTTTTTTCGTGTGCGGGGCGCTACGGTGCGCCGTGCGGTGCACGGCATTCGGTGCGCAAACCGGCTCACCGTGGTGCGCCGCAACTATGGTGCAAATAGAGTGAGGACTGTTCACACTAGGAAAACACACCTGTCCTTGAAGTAGTCATAATGTGACATGGTGGAATTGCTGAGTTCACAGGGTGACATTGCATCCATGCTTTGATGGATCTCGATCACAAAATATCGCTTTCCAGAATGAATCGCAGTCACAACATTTCCCTCAATACTTGCTTCCTCTGCCTGTCCATTGACAAGGAACACGCTCTGTGCCACACTATGCGAGTCCATGGGCATATCTATTGACACTGGATTCTCCACTTTCTCAGATGGAGATGCATCCATGTGATCAACCTGGCCTTGTTCCAGAATTATTTGGCATTTAGGAGCAGGAGCAAGAGCATCTGCTGCTTTCCTTTTTGAAGACTTGTCCTTCAAGGCTTGCACTTGAGTCTTCCATTCCTTATCTGTCAATACCTCATCCACCAGGTGCCAGTCAATTCGGAGAAAATCGATGATTAGGTCATTTGACCTCCCAATGCTCGGGGCAAACAGATAGGCCTTATCTGAAGTCCAAACAGCTTCATCAGAAGTGGCTGGAGAGTCCAAAGCGACACTCAGCAACTGCAAGTGGAAATCCCTCAGTTTCCTCATCTGCATCCATTCATTCATCCACATGAAAAATGCATTGATGCTATCAGCAACACTGAACAAAGAAGAAGAGACTGTGTTCGTCCAAGAGGACAGGAACCCATTTCGCGATGTGCTTATCGCATCTGGGAGTGCTGCAGACATCTCCCCCATTGGCACCACGGTTGCACAAGTATTGTGCACATCGAAGGAAGGAAACAATGCACAATATGGAATAAACACAACTACTGTCTTAACCCCCAAAAAAGCGTACATACGTTGTATACGAATACAACATATGGGGTACGTTGTATTCAAATACGACGTACGTACGTTATACAGTTATAGAACGAATTTTACAGTAGGACATTGTAGGACCCGACGTCGTTTTTATTTTTTTCCTCGAATTTGGTTGGGAATTTCTCGAAGACCCTCGGGCAAAAGTTGTTTGTATTGCAATTTTGCACAACAGTGTTTTTTCGGATTTTTTGGATTATTTTTGAAAAATCGAAATCAGAGAACGCTTCAAAATGCCTTAAAAAGACATTTTTATTCTTGTTTTTCTTTTTTTGAATTTGGTTGTGAATTCAGACATGGCCCTCAGGCAAAAGTTGTTGGCATTGCAATGTTTTACAACTTACTTTTTTTTGGATAAAAAAAAAAAAGGTCCTTATGGTCCTGGCTCCATATCATACATGCAAGCGCACGTCGTGCAGCCAGTTCCCTACGTGCGGCGCACGCACCCAACCGATCCGGTGCGGCGCACGACGTGTGTGGAGAACGACCCATCACTCCCCTCAGAAAAAAAAAAAAAAGGCCGGGGTCGAAACGGTGCGTTTTAGGCCCCCCGACAAAATTATAAGCGAGATGAAAAAAAAATACAAGAGTCCTGCCTCACCTTGCTCCTCCTCCCCTTCCTCATCCTCCATGTCTCCTCCTCCCTTCTCCTTTCCATCTCCTCCTCCTCCTCCTCCTCCTCCTCGTCCCGTTCGTCCTCCTCCTCCTGGCCTTCCTCATCCTCCTTGTCTCCTCCTCCTCCTCGTACTTCCTCATCTTCCATGCCTCCGCGCCTCCTTCCCTTCCTCGTGCACTCCCCTTCTTCGTGTCCTCCCCTTCCTCGCCGTCCATGTCTCCTCCTCCTCCCACTCGTCCTCCTCCTCCTGCCCTTCCTCTTTTCCCTCCGTCCATCTCTTCTCCTCCCCCATCTCGATGACTCCTCGTCGTCCTCGCTATCCTCGTCGTCCTCCTCGACCACATCCTCCTCCTCCGCTCCATATCCCCCTCTCCTCGCCATATCCCTATCTTCCTGTCATACGGCCCCCGTTCCCCCTCCCAAAAAAAGATAAAATAATAATAATAAAAACAAAAAACCTGCACGATTCCACACAGGCACCCCCCGCATGGAACTCCGCACGATTGTGCAGCTCGTGCGGTTGCAAGTATGCTCCATATCCATTATGGGGAGCATCAGTCCAGTTCCTGTCCATTTTTCGGAAATTTTAAATTTTCTGAGTTTTTGAAAATTTGAAATTTGCAAAAATTTGAATACAACGCAGAAATGTCTTGGTATTCACGTTCGCGCCGTCAGTAAGCGTGCTACGGAACGCAGCGCTAGTGCAAACGGCCGCTCCAGACCCGTCGGGCGAGAGCCCACGGGACTTCGTCCTAGCGCCCACCGGCTCGACCGCCCCCCCCGCCAACCAACACCCGCCGAATCACCGCGTCGCTCTTCGCCCCGATTCGAGCTTTCGAATCCGGGCGGCCAGCCGCCATCACCTCCCTTCGTTGCCAGTGGGTAGGTTTGCTCGTGCTCCACTCAAGAGCACACAGCGTCTTCCTTCAAGCAACCAACCCCCTCAAGTGGATCAACCTACACAACCGCCTCCGCCACCAAGGAAGCTCTCACGGAGACCTCAAGGAGACGCCGTTAACACCATACGCGGGCGACCAGTCGGAAACGAGGCCGAAGGTGAACAAGCATCTCTCCAGTTCCGCCATCACTTCAGAGGGAACAACGGTACCGCAGCCCTCCAGCGGATGACAAACTCGACGACGTCAAGCCAAGCGTCTTAAGTGAAGCCATTTTTCTACCTCTCAACCTTCCCCCACACCTTCCCCTCCCCCACCACTCTCCCACCTCCCCCCGTCCTTCTTCCCTCCCCCCCTCCCACGCTATGTAACACCCGCGGCGGCGGACAGGCGCGGCCAAGTCCACGGCCGCGGCCAGTCCGCGAAGCCCGCGGACGTGTCCGCGCGGACGCGCGGATTGGCGGACACGTGGCGGGCGCAGGGGAGGAGATTTCGCGATTCTGGCGGCGCCATGTGGCAGCGCATCCCCTGCCCCACCCCCCCACACACAAAAAAAAGGAAAAGATGAACTTTTGGTGGGGGGGGTATGGGCGAAATCCAAGGAAATTCGAAAGAAAAGAAAAAACGCATTTTTTTTTATTTTTTTTTTTCCGTTGATTGATTGATTGATTGATTGATTGATTGATTGATTGGTGGGGGGGGAGTCGCCCCGCCCCACCCTTGATTGATTGATTGATTGATTGATT